TCTAGGTCTAAGTCAATGGGGAACTCATTGACTTAGACCTAGACAGGGGGAACTCATCTTTCCAGGATGATAAATTATATATTCAGATGATACTAAAGACATTACACTAAACATGTTCAAAGCCATGTGTATAAGTTGCTGTTTTAACCCAAATACTACCCTTACTTCTATAAGCAGTAATTTATTTAATACCAGCATTAAAAATGAAAAGTTAGGGTTTCTGAAACAAGTCCAGTTATAATCCAAAATTACAGTTAACATTATCAATACTAAAACAATCTGAAAGTGAGTAATTTTTACAATGGAATAAATAAAAATCCTTTAGCTCCTTTTGCTCACTTATTAATTAAATCAGATCATAAGACTGCTTGAAGCACTTGAATAATTTGAATGAATTCAATTAGTCTCATCATTCTCAGATTATTTTCCAGTTCAGGTAGGTAAGGCTATTAGAACTTTAAATAACTTGAGATATTGTAAGCAAAAGATCCCATGGCAAAGCAGAAAAGAAAAAAAGAAAACTTAAAAAAGGCAATATTCAAAACATAGTACAACTTCTGATATCTTTTGAGAAGGAGGGATTAAAAATGCACAGGGGCATGCACTGCAAGGGGCAGGTAAAAAGACAGAGGAAAATAAGTGTCCATAAACCACACATTTTTTACACTTTCAGTTATCACTCAAGCAGCTATTACTAAATAAATACAGAAGTTAATTGATTTTTATGATTTACCCACTTAACATTAAGTTTTACTCTCTTAGTATTAGCAACCACCTAATTCAAAGCAAAAGCCAAATGAGAAATTAGTCTTTTTTTATTTTTAATGGTTCAGTTCATAAATAATGAAGACAAGCAATAATGTGCACCTCTAAGGACAATTAGAAATATTTTGGTCAAAAGGGAAGCAGGATGACTGTAGGAGGGAAAATGTTTCTTATAAATCTGAGCACAAAAAAGCATTAATAAAGGTCTCTGGAAAGGCCCAACTTAAGAAAAGTTTGACATTATGAAAATACCAATCTAACAAAATTTAAGCTAAATATAGGTTCAGTAAACTTTGACTACTTAGAGTACGGATATTTCTGTTTTCAGAGGAATGGATGAAAGGAGAACTATCTAGCTTGCTGAGAGAGTTTGTGAAGAGGTCGTCCTCATAAGCACAAGTGAAGAAATAGAAGCTTTTTTTTCCCTTTCTCTGTTAAATTCTACTTTGTCTGGAGAAAATATTTTACATTTTAATTTTTTAATAAAATTTGTAAGCAAAAGGAAGTGAAAGGGATGATCTTTTATTTCAAAAGGGAAAAAACAAGAGAGAAGGAGAAACATCAGATAGGACTTATTCTTATGACTGGCACATCATTAATACACAGACAGTTAAGTTAATCGTAATCTCAGTTTGCCCACTTGGCTTTTTCTGACTTTCATCACAACCAAGCTCTGGATATTCTTCTTAAACAACATACAAAAAATCTTGATGGCCAAGTTACTTGTAATGTCTTTAATTTAAACCACTCCACACTTATTTAGGTGATTCCACCTGAGAGGCTTTAAGTACTTTACAAGCTATTAACTCAATTTTTTATCTGTAAATTTGGAAAAGCAGAACAGATTATAGCCAACATCTTCAGAAATTACTATTAAATTTGTAGCTTTTCCAGCCACTCACCACCCCAATCTCCCCCTCTCTGGCTCTGGCCACTCCTGCAGCCGCTCATTACCCCCGACCCCACCAGGCCTTGTATATCTCTAGGAATGGCTCTGCCCGCACCTCCCCCCCCCACCCCAGCTGGTAGACAGAGATGCTGAACACAAAATGCCAGCCAAAGCAAGAGAAATCTTGCATATTGAAAACTTTCAGGCCCTGTTCAGTGACCGCTTTTGAAAACTTGAACATGCCAGTGGAGACTGATTTCCTGATCTTTGAAACAGCTACCATTAAAAATAAATTATTCTCCAAATCTTCCATCATTAATGTTGACAAGTTTCTTATCCTTTTGTTTAAGCCATGAGACACCATGGCTGGCAGTTAAAATTGGTCAGCAGTCCTAGTTTTTTTGCAAATGTCATCCTGTGGTAGTTTCACTCCAAAATGCAGCTTAGGAAGTGTGTACATAATCAGAATGTTATTTTCAAAGGCCTATGAGAGGTGTAACTCTAAACAGATTCCTTTAATTCAGTGTCCATTTGTACTTTTGGCAGCTCCCAGGTATCCTTTAGCTTGTTTTTTTTTAAATATCAAATTAAAACTAGATAAGTGGAAGCAGAGTTTAGTAACGCAGTGTGCTCTGCAAGGAAGTTGTTTATTTCTTCTGGTGTATGCTAGGAAAAAAAGGGCTAAAAGATCCATGTTTCATTTTCAGCCCCATCTCAGATGCACTGGTCAATAGGGTTTCTAAATCACAAGTCATTAGGTAGTTCACAGTGCTTAACGGAAGTACATTTTCGCTAAGCCAGCTACAAGACAGACATTAGCAAAGTACAATGCAGTTAATAAGCTACAGTAAAAGCTTTGTTATCCAGCATGAGGGGGTTAGGGGGATACCAGTTATCTAAAGATTCTGGTTAACTGAGAGTTATACCTATCAAGGAAGACAGGAGCGCAGTGCAGCCACCCCTGCTGGGCAGAGCCTGGCCCTGGTCCCGGCCCCAGCCCATAGAAGCAGCCCGTGCAGATCCCTAACTAACGTAAACAACAGAAATACTTGATGCGCATGCCAGACAGACTCAGCAAAGATTCCGGTTGCTAAAGTGAGAATTTGTATTGGGGGATATTGGAAATTCCAGTTAATAGAGTATTCCGGTTAGTAAAATGCCAGTTAACACAGCTTTTACTGTATATTATATGAATATACTGCTTCATGACAGTTACGAAGACAAAGTAATATTATAAATTTAAGTTACGATAGAAACTAGGATTCCAAGATTTCTCCTATTAAGTCTAAATCATAACTTCTTGCCTAGTCATCAGTTTACAATGTCAGAAATTATGACCTGTGAATTGCAGTTTACCACTAAAGAGCTATTGACTTGAAACACGTGAGTGTGATGGATACCTTAGGATTTTTACCAAGGATTAGCAATGAGACACTGCAGCCTTTGATGATAATTTGAATCCAACATGGATTAAGAAAGAAATGACAACCTGACAGTATATTGATAAATATATTTTGGAAACGTTGTCTATAAGGTATAAAATAGTGTTTGATTAATATGCACCCATCTAGAAGCAGTATTAAGGTATGACACAAGGACCAATAACGTGAGTACTATGGCCCCCTCTACACATTACAGATATTGTGCAGGTAACTGAGACCAACTACACATGCAAAGTATCTATCACACAATAAAAAGCTCCAACCAGCTATAAAGTTGGACCCCAAAAAGTGTGTGCTAACTTTATAGCTAGTTGCTATTAAGGTTTAATTTGCATGTGTAGCAGGGACTCCCTGGGGCCAAGAGCCCTGTCAACTGACTGGGCTCCCAGCCTCAGGGATGAACCTTGCCTAGTGTGAAAACCCCAAGCCCCAAGGATTACAGCTACTGTGATCAGAAGCTGGGGGAAAGGAGGCGGGGTGGGGAAAGAGGAGTGAGTGAAGCCCCCAGCCCACACAGAGCTCTCAGTTTGGCTTGCCACATGCAGCCAGGACCAAGAGCCCTGCATCAGCTGCGGGGTCTCAGCCTCAACTGCACGTTTCCCCCACAACTGGGAGCCTGCTTCTTGCCAGTGCAGGGCTCCCCCAGCACCAGTAATATGGCACGATTGGATCGGATGTGCGATCCCACAATCGCACCTCCTGCCATGCATGTGTAACATGGCAGGAAACGCAATTGTGTGGATCATGTATTAGATCCAATCACACCTTTACCTGCACATGTAGAGAGGAAGCGTATCCGGTGAAGAAGCATAGTGCTGCTTGATACTATGTGGACTAAATTAACATAAAGTTAGAATGATGAGCTTTAGAAGTTTTTCATAAAGCTTCATTATAACTATTCTTTTAAGATTAAGCTGGGTTGTCAAAATCCTTAAAATAGCCCTAAAGCATGGCTACAAATGGGCAGCATATGTGGCTCTTTTATGTGAGTTTCATAGTTTCATAGATTTAGGGTCGGAAGGGACCTAGCAGATCTTCTAGCCCGACCCCCCGCCAGGGCGGGAGAACAACAAAACCCCAAAACAAAAACGGGACTCAAATGAGTCCAGCCGGGTAGGCATCCAGCCTCTTCTTAAAGACCCCCAGGGTAGGGGCCAGCACCACTTCCCTTGGAAGTTGGTTCCAGCTCCTAGCCGCCCTAACCGTGAAGTAGTTTTTGCGGATGTCCAATCTATACCTCCTCTCCATCAACTTGTGCCCATTACTCCTTGTTATGCCAGCGGGCGCTAGGGGAAACAGCGTCTCCCCCAAACCCTTCTGGTCCCCCCTAGTGAGTTTATAGACGGTCACCAGGTCCCCCCTCAGCCTTCTCTTGTGGAGGCTGAATAGGTTCAGGTCCTGCAGTCTCTCACTGTAGGGTCTGCCCTGTTGTCCCCGGATCATGCGGGTGGCCCTCCTCTGGACCCTCTCCATATTGTCCACATCCCTCTTGAAATGGGGCGCACAGAACTGGACACAATACTCCAGCTGTGGCCTGACCAGTGTCGCGTAGAGGGGGAGGATCACCTCCTTGGCTCTACTCGAGATGCACCTGTGGATGCACGATAAGGTCCGGTTAGCCCTGCCAACCATGACCTCGCATTGTCGGCCCATGTGAGTTAAAAGTGAGTTACTTTTTACAGGCATTTGAACACACACACTTATCATTCACCCTCCTCCTTTCCACCCCCCACACACACCAGTTGAAAGTTTATCACAATGAAATACAGGTCAAAAACTGCCAGGATCTATATAACAAAAAACAACAGAAGCACTTCGGGATATTTCAGAAAAATAAGGTACCAGATGCATGTCAAACTTTTTTGTAAAGTGATCTATTATCTTCTCACAAATGCATTACTTACAATTGACTGACACGGGTAGAAGCAGCTATCTATCAATATGTTCTCAAGAAGATCTTGATCTGCAAAAGAAATACATAAAAATCTATAGGATTCTAAAAATATAAATAAAATTCACAAGTAACTACATCTGAGCACTGAAATACTGCTATGTTAGAAAGACATTAAGATTTAAACAATGTTGTAAGATTTTTTTAAAGTACAAATTTAAGTGCAAAAGTCATAGCTCAATGGAGTTGTCTTCAGACCTGAACCAAAAGGAACACATCCATGGAAAAAACAGAGGATTATAATTCCAGTTCAACTGATATATAAGAAATCCAATACATATGGTAAAATATAAATGCTTAGTTTCATAATTACATGAAAGTCACATGTATACACTGGTCTTTATTGTGCTGCTCTCCTTCCTTCCTTTCCTCAGGAACCTGAACTCCATCATTTTGTGGTCGGTGCTACCCAAACTGCCATCTGCTACTGCATTCCCCACCAATTCTTCCATGTTTGTGAGCATCAGATCAAGAAAAGCATGACCCCTAGTTGTCCTCTCCAACACCTGTACCAGGAAGTTGTCCCCACTCTTCAAAAACTTCCTGGATTGCCTGTGCACTGTTGTATTGCCCTCTCAGCAGATGTCCAGACAACCAACGTCCCCTATGAGAGCCAAGGCCTGCTATCTGGAAACTTCTGCCAGCTGTTTGAAGAAAGCCTCTTCCACCTCATCCTCCTGATCTGGTGGTCTATAGCTCACAACCACCACGATATCACCCTTGTTGCTCCCCCCTCTAACTTTAACCCAGAGACTTTCAATAGGCCTATCTACCACTTCATACTGGAGCTCTGAGCAATCATACAGCCCCTTACTACATAAAGAGCAACTCCTCCTCTTCTCCATTGCCTGTCCTGCCTGAACAGTTTTTACCCATCCATGACAGTGCTCCAGCTATTTGACCTATCCCACTAAAATCTGTTATTCCAATCATGGCATAGTTCTGTGACTGTGCAAGGACTTCCAATTCTTCCTGCTCGTTTCCCAGGCTCTGCACATGCCTGCACAAAACACCTGAGATAACCAGCTGATTGCCTTATTTTCTCAGGAAGAATGAGGCGGCCTCCCATTGTCCCCTCCTGCTTGTGCTTCCTCCAGGTCACCTGCTTCCCCACTTACCTCAGGGCTTGGTCTCAATCTTCCAGCAAACCTAGTTTAAAGCCCTTCATAGACAGGTTAGCAAGCCTGTCTATGAAGATGCGGTAATGTAAAGCACCCAGAGGAGACGCCATCCAACCTGGACTGAGGGCCTATACCAATTATTCCATATAGTCATGGCAGGCAAGATCGTAGGCATTCAGAGGCAGATGGTCAGTGGTGACCCTTAAGACCAGGGAGTCCACAGATTCTACTGCCCAAACTATCACAATGCCTACCAATGGAACTTCAGCAGTCCATAAGGTGAGGCAAGAGCTGAACTGCCCTCTTTAAAGCTGCAGGATTGTTCTTCTCTCCACCCCAAAAAACTATAAACTTCTTTCTAGCTTTTCCATGATTTCTGTGCTACATAACTTCTGTACGCAATTTAGGGGAAGTTTTACTTACACTTTAGAGCACTGAAAGCCAGTTCATAAGATGCACGCTGGGAACATTCATCCCTGAAGATCGGCAGGGCTGGTAGTGGTTCATTACCATAACTTATCAATATTTTATCCTGAGGCTTTTCATTATGAATGCCTTGGAAAATATTAGCTGCATTTATGTATACAGAATCACAATAGCCAGTCTTTTCAGTCAGGCTTGTTGTACTGTTTTCGGCAAACTCCCTCTCATTTGAAACTGTCAGTTCACTCAGGTTTGAAACATCACTTTTAATATCATTATTTGAAGGCACAGAGCTACTTTTGGAACTTGGCATTTTTCCTATTGATTGTATGAAGGCTGACAAATCACAGTCCCACTGTCTCTGCAAAAACAAGAACAAAACAAATTTTATCAGAACATTTAATTCGATTTCACTAAAAGCATTTTTCTTTGTTTTTTATTTCCTTTTCTAGGATCCAATCCTGCAAATATTTGAGACAATATTAAGCATATGTAGAAATATGACCAGATACCTAAAATTGAATTTTTCTTTCTAGGCTCTTGCTATTTAGACCTTTCATTTGCTACTGCCACAGCCACAACCCAGTGATTCCAAAACTGAATGCATGTACCAATAAAGTTCCACATGGGGAACGATGTAGCCACAATCTGCTTCCTAAGGCAAAATGCCACAGATGCAAGCATCTGCCATGGGTTTTAATGAGAGAATCAAGGGATTCCGATAATCTTTTACTGGACCAGCTGTAGCGTTGCTTTACTCTGTGGGCTGCTAAGGTTCCAATGGTGGGCATGTGCAGAACTACTTAGGCACTGAAGCCACCTCTTCAGCTATGGGGAATGCATTTCCTGAGTCGTTATGGCTACAACAGCACTGCAATCCTACTACATACAGTTTTAAGATGGTTCCAGCAGCCCCTCACAGAAGGCATGGCAAACCTATCCAGCGTGAAGTAGTACAGAGTGTCCAAGAGTTCATGAGATTTTCCTATCACTACTTCCACTGGTATCTCTAATCTGCCTGCTATGCAACATAAAAAGCTTTGGAAAATTCGTAAGTCATTCAGTTGGCTGGAAATGGAAGGTAAGAGGAAGCAGGGAATAGGGCTGTTGGAGCTGGTCTACCAGTTTCTGTAGACATTCTTTCCTACCACCTTGCTCCTGCTAGTTCTAGCCATGTGGCTAATCACTGAGACTCTTGACTAATATTGTGTAGAAATGGACTATTATAAATGTGGGGGAAGGAAGAACCCAGGCAAACAGTGAAGGTTTCTAAGGCCAAATTTAATTAAGCCAAATTGTATACTGAAAGATTAAGGACTTGAGACAGCATGCAAATATTCCCTTATAAGTCTCTAAACCTTGTTTTTGCAAGGATAAATAAATCAGTACAGTAGATAAGTGAGGTTATTTCTCTCTCTGTCCACAAGAGTAAAAAGGAAAAGTATACTCCCCACCCTGCTAGGAGGGAATGCTAATCTGTCTGATATCTCAAAGTTACCTTAAATGCTCCAGAATTTGAGCAGAACTCATTGATGCCATTATAGTATTAGCGAGCAGCACCAAAGCATAAGCACATCTAATATGAGACAAGACACACTCTGTACAAAGAACATCTGAGCTGGAATCTCTGCACCACAAAGGCATAATGAGTTAACATCACAAAGGTTAAACGTAACAGGAGAAATGCAGACTGTGGTTTCAGGCAATGCTCTGCCTAACCACTGACCCTCCAGTGCTGAGGCTTCAAAGGAACCCATCTGGAGTGTGAACTTGCTTCCAGGAGATAACAGAACAGCTTGGTAGGTATTCTGCCTCATCTTAGTCCTCGCCAGAGAGGGTGACACCTGACTGTGTTAACTCTGGAAACAATACACTGCCCTACCCTTTTCTTGAAATTGGGTAGAACAGCTCTTGGATGACCTGCTAAACTTAATAAACGGATTCAAACACTGAGTAAGAATGATTCTGGATCAGAGTTACAATTCAAAGGAACACCAGCTGGAAATGAGTGTTCAGGTCTTCCAGGATCTCAGAGGTTAGACTGGCTTTTAAGGATCTTAATCTAACAACTACAGAATTCAAGTTTTCCCCAAAGTAATCTACTTAGTGGATTTATTGTGATTTTTTAAATCTCCTGATCTACCTGTTTTTACTCGTAATGGGAGACATTAAAAAAGCATCCAGGTAAAAGTGTTTAGTAAAAGTATTTAGTAAAACATGGTGATGGGTGATGGTGTGTGGAGGGTTTGTGTTTTTCTTTTTTTTTTTAAAAAGCATTTTCTCCATTTTTTTCAAATGAATTCTTTACAGGGAGCTTTCAGAACTGGCATACATATTTCACTGTTTTTTCAGGAAATTGAGTGGTACTGTTTGAGCCTTTCTGCTGAGAACCTGTACGACTTAGCCAGGACTGTACTAACATGTGGAGTTAGCTGCAGGACTTCTATACGAGGGATACAGTTCTATATTAAGTTATATTGGAAGTTCACTCCTTCAAACTTTTCCTGAAGGGGAGGGTCTGTGTTAAAGTGGTACCTGAAATTTCCTGCAACTCCATTATGCAGTGGAGTCTCTGCCCACCCTTACCTCCTGTCCCGGGGAACAGGGTAATGAACAGAACTCACCTGCAGCTCAGGACAAGACGTGTGTGAGGCGGAGGGAGGAGCCCGCACAGCTCATTAGCCGCCTTTTTATTCAATTGTGGCCAGCTGATGACATCACCATTGGACGCCGGCCGGCAGCCATAAAAACAGCAGCTGCGGCCAAGGAGGGGGCAGATAGCCCAGGTGGAGAGCAGCAACCATCACCGACGAGAGGAGAAGCCTCTGCTGTAAGAGTGGGTAAGTAAGAAGAGCCGGCAGGGACTCAAACAGACCAGGACCAAACCTCTCGACAGGAGACTACATCGGGCAGCACCGGAGCAGGAGACACAGCACCAGGGGTTGCAAGTGGAAGAGCGCCTGGGAGTGAAGTGACCCACAGGTGGGGTGTCAGGACGACGGGGCATGGAGAGAGTCTCACCAGGGGGCAGAGACCAAGGGAGAGCCCCGAGAGGGTACAATCAGGGCAGGCATCAAGAGAGCAACGGGCCGGAAGGGAGCCAGGAACGGCTCGGAGCAGGCTGCCCAGCGGATAGGGAGGCGTGGGGCAGGCAGCATTTCTTTTAGCTGTTTTGATCGTTTCACCCCAGCTAAGGAAGAGAGGGCTAAGGGAGCGTGCCCGCAGTTTGGGGCTGAAGGGAAGCCTCAGTGAGACCTGAGTTTTTCTTTGATTTTTCCGTCCCCTGAAGGGACAGGAGCAGACAAGGAGGGCTGTAGGGGCCCAGCTGGCTGGTGATCACCACGACCAGGAGTCATGGTCGCTTGAGGGCTGGTCAGGCGGTGTTACCCCACAACTGGGGAACAAGACCCACAGATAAAGGACGCACCGAAGGTGGTGTGAGGCCGGGGTGCAGGGATGGCGGAGCCCAGTGAAGTGACCGCCGAAGGATCCTGGGCCATGGAGTATCCAGCGTACTGACCCCTTACACTGGGTAACATCAAGTCGTGGCAGGCGAGAACGGGGTTGGGGACACAGACAGAAGAGAGCTACTCCAACACCGACAAGATCCCAACAGGTGTTTGACATCTACCTGCAAGGCAAGAACTGCTCCAGAACGGTTAATTGAAGCCCGGCGGTCACACCTCCCTGTACAATTTTTCCTTCTCATTTATTCTTGGGCTCTGAAGAAGCTCCTTTCAAAACAATCTAGAAGAAAGCTTATGGCAGAGATCACACAATGTATATTAAGTAGACAGTGCAAGGGTTCGGTCTTCCTACAATAGACAGCAAGAAGGAACTGAGGCAGCTTTGTCACAGACAATGCTGCAAATGTATCAAAGACGAGAAGAAATCTAGAAGTGAAGAAAACCCAAGCTAATAACATATGGCTGCAGTGCTCATTTGATGCACCTCTTAACCAAGGACTTCAGTGCTCCAGAAATAAAGGCGAATGTTGTTGAAATTGCTAAATACTTCCATAACAACCACTTTGCAGCAGCTGCTCTGAAGAAAGCAGGAGGAACCAAACCTAACTCTCCCACAAGATGTGCAATGAAACTCAGTAATGGACTGTTTTGAGCGATATGTTGAGAACTGGCTTAATCTGATAACAATTTGTGAACAAAATCATGACGAAATAGATGGAACTGTCATAGCCAAAGTTCTCAACGTTGGGCTAAAGAGAAATATAGAACTTATGCTGACTATCCTGAAGCCTATTTCTGTAGCCTGGAACAAAGTGCAGGGAAATTGCTGTTTTATTACTGATTGCTTATTGTTGAAATTTGGAAGGAACTGGGTGAGACCTTGAAAGGAGAATGTGCAATGACAGTTAAATTACAGGCATTAAAAAAAATAAATGAGAATGGACCAAGCACTATCTCCAGCTCATTTTCTTGCCAGTATTCTCAGTACTCAGTACCAGGGTCAATCTTTAACTGCTGAAGAAGAGGAGTTGGCTATGGCATGGGCATCTAGCAATCATCCTTCCATGACACCGACTATAATAATTTTCAGGGCTAAGGGTGAACCACTCAAAAACGATATGTTTGTTGATGAGGTTTTAAAGGAAGTCACTTAAGCACCTGGATCCATCAGAGACTACTGAAGTGATAATCCAGTTTTTAACAGCAATAGCTTCTTTATATGACTTACGAAGAGAGGCTGAGGGAACTGGGCTTATTTAGTATAGAAAAGGGAAGACTGAGCGGGGATTTAGTGTCAGCCTTCAACTACCTGAAGTGGGGGTTCAAAAGAGCACAGAGATAAACTGTGTTCTCAGTGGTGACAGATGACAGAACAAGGAGCAATGGTCTCAAGTTGCAGCAAGAGAAGTTTAGGTTAGATATTAGGAAGAATTTTTTCACTAGGAGGATAGTAAAACACTGGAACAGGTTACCCAGAGAGGTTCTGGACTCTCCATCCTTGGAGGTTTTAAAGATCCAACTAGACAAAGCCTTGGCTGGGATGATCTAGTTGGGGCTGGTCCTGTTCTGAACAGGGGGTCGGACTAGATCAGGGGTGGGCAAAATGCGGCCCGTGGGGCAGATGCAGCCTGCCAGGCCATTCTATCTGGCCCACGGGGCCCCTAGAAAATTTAGAAAGTTAATATTTATCTGTCTCTGCCTGCCTGTCATGCAGCCCTCGATAGCTTGCCAAAACTCAGTAAGTGGCTCTCTGCCCAAAATAATAGCCCGCCTAGATGATCTCCTGAGGTCCCTCCCAACCTTAACTTTCTATGATTCTTCTGAATGCGTAGAAAAATATTTTCTTCCTTAAAATGAATTCGTCCAAAATTGAGAAATCAGTTGGGAACTGAAAAAACAGGAATGCATTTCTTTCTTTTCCAGTCTATGAATAAACAGGAAGAGAAAGGTGAAGACTGAGTTTGCTGCTGCATAACCCAGTATTTAAAGTTTCTCATGTTGAGCTGACTCAAATAATCTATTTAATTTTTGTTAAAAACACATTTCACATTTATAACTAAAATAGTTACAAATTCAAAAATACTTGTGCTTGTTTTGTTAAAATAATTATACATTTGTTGAAGAAAAATCTCTAAAATATATAAGCTTGTTGTTTTGATTAAAAACAATTAAAAATGTTGTAATTCAGTTTTCTGATGTAGCTGCAAAATTAATCTAAAAAATATGAAAATAAATCACTGCTTTAAAATGTATAGTGTGTACCTTCTATAATGGAAACCTACATCTATCTCTGAGTTGTGAAAAATATGCGTTAAGGTTATATCAAACAAGAATGCCCTTTTTGTAGAAAACAATGATTAAATCAAGGCTTCCTGACCAGTGATTTAAACCATGGTGTAAATCGATTTGATTTAAATCAGGTGTACCCAGGCTGAAGGCACTCAGGATAACATACCAGAGCTCATCATTTTGAAGAATATGGTAGGCTTTCTCCTTATCAATGTGTGAGAGGCTTAGATGTAGAAAATGCATTCCCTAATAAGAGCCAAAGGTTTCTTTTATTGTATCATCTGGATACTTGGGATAGTTAGGCAAACTTCTGAATGCAATTCATACTTCATCACATCACAACATCACTAACACTTTCCCCAGTAAGAACAGGGCCATCCCGAATAACTATTATTACTCTACTCAATGTCGCTTTGTCCTTAGACAAGTGACTGGTTCCTTGTATCATTGTTTCATTAGTTAGATATCTTTTTCTACAGCATCTCCCATTACTCTGTTCAAGCTCCTATGGTTATCAATAGCTGGTCTTATTGGCTGATGCAAAGTTTAGGTAGACTGGTCCTGTTTTAATCAGAATTCAGGGGAACAAGTGGCTTATTTTAATCTGTCACAGAATACAAAATAAAGTGCTCACGGTCAAGGTTACCAGTTTCTTAACCATATCAAGTCTATACTGCAGCACACTAAATCTTATGACCAGAGACAAGTTATGCTGATACAGTTACTTTATACTTCTGAAAGTCCATGTGTACCCACAGTTAACTGTGAAGGCCAAAGGACAGGTTCCCCACTTTCCAGTTTCTACGATCTGTGATCAGGCTCAAAGAATTAGTCCAAATAAAGAGTAAAAGACAAATCAAGTGCAGCTCACGAAAGTCACAATTTCAACAGTGTAAGAAACTCATTCCAGCTTTAGAGAGTTCCAGATCCAGCACTAATCCCCAATTCTTAAAATATGGAGTCTACTTTACAGAGACCACTTGCTTGAGCAGTATCCCTCATCCTGATTATTGCAAACTTTGCTGCTACTGGTAAACTCTAGAGCCTGAATAACCTGCAGCAGGCCAGTCACGTTTATTAACACCCCCTTATTATTAAATAAAATATCAAACCTGTTCAAAACATAACACAAGGATGAGGTATACAGAAGTGAGATAAGAATAAACACTTCTATAAACATGCACAAAATGTTTTCCAAGGCACAAGTCCTATATACTACCTTGATGCTAGGGATTTTATGGAAATCTGCTACACTAGCATGAGTGCAAATGCAGCAGTCCCACCAAATGCATCATATAGCTAGTTCCACACCCTCTCGGAAAGTTGCTCTAATCCCTTTTCCCTGCCTAAGCTGCTGGTCTGTTTTGTGCTCCTGCCTGATCCACAGCTTTACTTTGTGCTCCCAGCCCCCTGCCCCTTTCCACTCTCCCACTCTGCTTTCCACTCCCTGCCCTGCTGTCCCTGGGCAATCTGCTTCTCCGCTTTCTGCCACTTTCCCGATCCCCTACTCTGCCTTCTGCCCCTGTCCAGTTCACTGCTCTCCTTCCTGCCC